AGTGTGCACTGTGTAGTTCAAACCTGTTGGTATTGACTTTATATTACATATTGGGTCGTCATAAGAAGTGGGGCTTCTCATAAACGAAATGGGTATGAGTGTAGGTTACAAAAGCAATGATAATAATAATAATACTAATAGTAATCGCAAAGAAGGGGAAAAAAAGATACCAACTCATCATTTCATTTATTTATTTATTTTCATCACCCTTCCTAAATAGATATATATATATATATATCGAATAGAGATCAATAAACAAGACATTAGAATGGTCCCGATGACATCTTCTGGTAGCACGAGCTATCAAGCAAGGTGGGAAGCTGTACAGAAGCTTGCAAGGTGGGTAGTGGTACCAAAATCACTAACGCATGGGGTTCCTTTACTATCGTCATGCCCTTGAGCTGTTCACAAAGGTGAATTAGAAAGTAGGGCAACACGTCATCCTGGGGAGCAAGTTTGATATATTTCCCAATGTTTCTCGGAATCGACTCATCCTCAACACTATGAACATCATCGATGAACTCCTTAAAAGAAGCACCTAACAGTGGCTCGTGGAATACAGACGAGCGAGTAGATCTAACGACAGACATCCGAGGCGTTTTGGATTTGGAGAAAGACTTGCGTGAAAACTCCCCAGTACCCGAAAAGTCCAAAAGGTTTCGTATTTCGAAACGAACCATGGTTGACTTTTCCTTCGACGCATTCAGAAGCAGCAGCTTCTCCTCCTCCTCCTTGCTGAGTTTAAAAGGGTCATAGTTCAGAACTGTGTGGGTATATTTCTTCTCTTTGACGACTGTCCGCGGCAGTTCTTGCTCGAAAGCGCACAACGTAGGTGGGATAATGCTGGGATGGGAGCTATAGTAAACTGCCGGACCGACAAATTGGGCATCCGGATAGGCAGAGCGCATGTTGTCCGCGTCGTTGTACTGCACCTGGTAAGTGGTAAGATGCATCGAGGCGTTATTAATACTACAACGCATGGAAAGCGCCACATCGTCCCCCAACCGCAAGAGAACCCGTTGAAAAAAACTCATACTACTCGCGATTGCCGCCGTGATCGAAAAAAAGGATGAATCATAGGACGTGCCGCCATTACTGACGGTAAGGAGAAGTCCATGATGATCTTCTAGGGAGTACCGGTGGACCTCTTGAATCACCGACACGACGTACGGATCCTTAAAATAATTCAAGCTCAGGTCGAAGAAATGTCGAACAAAGATGCCCTCGGTTGGGATGGTTGTTGGAGACTTGGGGACGCAATGCTGTATAAATTTGGAGCGGAGGCCACGTGGGATGTAGTGCATAAACTCCGACACCGTCAGCTGTGTGGGGTAGACCTCGGCGCTAAACTCAGCACAACGCTCAAACCCGACAAAAAGATCCACAAACCCACTTGAGCTGGTATCATTGACAAGGATGAATTTGACCTTGCCATGCTTCAGCTTCAGGCACTGGATGGGGGTTTCAACGAAGGTTGGGGTTTCCTCCCCTAACGCTTTGGATGCGTTGCTTTCGTGATCGCCAAACCCCGTACCGGTACCGTTGGTGTTGGAAAAAAAGCTGGCCCGCGCGTTGTGCGAGCGTAGCGCGGTCAAAAGATCCCGTCGACCCACCATGGATTCAGAGCCCAGGGCGGAGAAATTTCGCAATGGCGTGATCCCCGTCGACGTCACCGTCGTTCGCTTCATAAGCGTTGGCAAACTCATTTTTTGACGAAAGTCGAACTGCGGCATGAGATTGGACTCCTTCTTACGCACTAAGATGTATTTCTTCAAGTCGATCGTTTGCATGAGAGTCCGCTCGCGTTGTGGGAGGTCCTCACAGCCGACCTCGACCTCGAGCTCCAACAACGCGCCAATAAAAGACGCCACCAAAAGATAGCGACCTTCTGGAAGCTGAAGCGACACCGCAAATTTCGCCCCGGACGGACAAAAAATCGACTCGAGCTTTTGACTTTCGGCAACTTTGGTCCAGGAAAGTCGATAATGCTCGCAATTGAAAGCCGGGGGAAGGTTTTTAAGCTTAAAAAAGACATACACATCACTTAAGGAGTGGATTGGGGTGGAGTCCGTGCAAATCGGGCAGCGGTAGGTCTTCGGGGCGTACCGCGGCCCCCCGGCGTTGAGCTCCCTAATCATCGCGCAATGCGTGATATCATACCCGCAGGAGACGCAGCAAACGACAAAACACATCTCCACCCACTTCTTCTCCACCCCGAGGAGCAATTGCTCCACGACCGTACTAATGGAAACCTGAAGAAGCCCCGCCAATGCGAAGGGGTTCCACAAACTAAACATTGTTAATAAATGCCGCGTCGAGCTACACGCCTCGAGCACCTCCGAGGGGATGCTTTCGATCGCGCTGTTGATCTCGACCTCGGGGCTACATAAGTAGAAAAACTCGCGGTGGTCGTACGGGCTAGCCTTCGTCGTCAGGAACGGCGCGCAAAAGGACTCGAGGTTGGTCCAGAAATTGCGATCGCAATAGCCAATCGGCAAGGCGGACCAGCGCTTGTGGAAAAGACTCGCGGTCAACTCCGAAGCGGCCATCGCGTGGGGCCTTTTGGAAAAGAAGATACAAAAAGTGGGATGACAGAAGGACAACCTAGCGAAGCTAAAAAATTCCGTTGAGGGTTTCTGCACCCACATGACAAGTGTCAAAGAAGAAAGGGAGAGAAAATGGTTAAAGGGGATGTGAAAAAAAGTGGATTGCACTAAAAATCATTGCGGGAAAGCGTGTATTCCAACACGCACTTACAAATAATTGAAAAGATAGAACACCCCCAAAGAAATATTACATCGATCAACCTCTTTACAAATCTTTCGGCATCAACCCAAAAGGTATCGCGGTTCTTCGGTGGCCACCTTATTCGGCCCGCGAGTAACGATTTATCCAAAGGAAATAATTAGTATTGGTAAATGCCAAATACGGTTACCACCGCAAAGATATGTTTGTTCATGAAAACCTCCTCAAAGTAGTCGTCGGTATCCGAATCCCAGAACATCTTGCACCCCGCGCGAAGGCCTTGCCCCCGCTGCTCGCCAATCATACAATGAACGAGAATTTTATAGCGATCGAGCTCCATCGAGCGAATCTTCTCGCGAACCATATCGGCAATTTCTTTGCTAATGCTCTGGATCTCATCGGCCTTGTACTCTTGAAGCTCCAGGCGAGACTCTAATATGCTGTGAACAATCGGTTTAAGCTCATTGGGGCGAAATTTGTGTTGGTGGTACGGACGCAGAGAAAAGGTGTTCGGGTCTATATTGCTGTACATTGTGTACGGGTTTTTGATGAAAATGTTGCTTTTATTAGAATGTGAATGCAAACTACAAACTTTCTGCTAATTTTTTTTCTGAATATATACGAATATCAGAAAATACACATATAAGTGTATAGATGGTTACTAGTAAATCTACAAAGAGGTATGTTCATAAAGACAAAAGGGAATATTTATCGGTTTACGTAAGCGTTTCCGCTACATTTTAAAACTCAAAGCGAGTCTATTTTAAAATTATCACTGTTCCTGGGGATGGATGCCACAGGAAAAAGATATATCTGAATGAAATGGAAAAAGCACACACAACTTTAAATGTCATTAAAAGTAATCATACTAAGTAACATGTATAGTGTACATATGGTATATATGTATAAATGTATATATATACACCTGTTTGCTTGTGTATGTGCGTAAGTGTATTAATATTTAAGCGAAATATTTTTACACAAAATGAAAATCTTCAGCCCTAAACTGGCATAAATATCTCAACGGTTATAAAAGTAAATTTGATGCCCAATAGCTAGCCACCACTAATGCCAAGTCATCGCTCGACAGGTAGGCACTTTTGTTAAATCCAAGTGTGGTTGTTAAAAACCTTACAATTCCATTTTGGGTCGACTTCTCGTTCCAGTGTTTAAAAAACACACTAGAGTAGTGGTCGTAGGTGAGTTTCTGGAGGTCCTCCGCGATACAACAAGAGCGGAATAATCCCTGAAGATACAAAAGCATCGTCTCCTCCTGATGGAGAATAATGGAGGCGATATAGCTGCGCATATAATTCAACGTTAGCGGGGCCGTACGCGACATTCGCTCGTAATCGTTCAGGATATCATGGACGTCGACATGAACAATGATATCGGCATTACGATAGAGATAGCGTAGCATCGCCAGGGCTTCGTCCTTGCTCACCACCTGATAAGGATCCGACGACGGCCAGCTGTAGCTCATGTTAAAAAGCATATAGCAGGCGAAGTGAATGTGCGTTGGCGAGACAAATCCGCGAATGACTTCCAAGTAAAGGCTATACAAGGCGTCTTGCGCGGCCGCGGCATCGAGAAAGCAGAGGATCTCGTAAAACGTCTTCGCCACCAGCTCGGGAAAGCAGTAGCGGGCCTCAAGCTCATCCGCGAGGGAGCGTTGGAAATCGGACAGCTCGTACGATTCGCGAAAAAAGCGCTCCGCCAGCATCAACAATATTTGGCTATTCATCGCCCGTGAGTCGGACTCTTTGAGGCAATTCATATAACGGCACTCCATCCGCGTAAAATGCCGCTCGCAGGTGGATAACAAAATGTGGTCGATCACGGAATGGTCGAGCACCCGCGGAATCAGCGAGCGAAACCCGCCAAAAAGCGTCTGATAAAGCGACCACTCCGGCGCGCGGTTCGGCGAGAGCGGGTCGAGCCGCTCAAAGGAGATCAACACACTCGTCGTGGTGCTCCCAGTCGTGCGGGTGGTGAGTTTCCCCACCGCGCCCTTGGAAAAGGGCTGCTCGCAGAGCTCGCGGAAGACCCTAAACTCATCCGGCGCGCTAAAGACCTCCTCCCCCTTGACCTCCTCGCTCTCCGGCTCCTCTTTGAATCGGCATTTCGGCCCCCACTTCGCGATTTGCTTCGCGGCGTGTTTGACAAATGGCGGGTTCGGCGTGGCGAAGCGGCCGGGGCCCGGGGGCCGGGGCTTCAGCGTCGCCGGCGCGCTCAGGACGGTGGTGCTGAGCCGAATGGACGGGTGCGCGGGGTCCGGATTTTGCGGTCCCCCTCCCCCTCCTCCCCCCCCGGCGGGGGGCTCGTTTCGCTCGTCCTCCCACGAGACCTCCGGCGGGATCTCCGCCGGCTCGACGCCGGGGTCCTCGTAGGCCGCCTCCCGCAGTGGGAGGGTGCTTTTGTACTTGACTTTGATGAAATTGGCGTGTTTGGGGATCTGGATCGTGAGGGAAGGATCCACCCGGGGGAGGCTGCACAGCAGCCGCTGTTGGATCGGAACGGACCCGGTGAAAATATCCACCCCGGAGATGAACTTTCGCGGGTATAAATCTTCTAAGGGACGCCGCAGCAGGCGCGGGAGAAGGACATCGGGCGAGATCACCCCTTCGCTGTTCGGCCGCTTCCATCGCAGCCCATCTGAGGGGTGCACGAGGGCATCCCCCATCCCCCCGAGCATCCGCGAAATCCACGCGTCGCGGCTCGCGAAGATGAAGTCCGCCTTCGCATTCCCGCCATGTTCCTCCTTGTGGGAGTGGTCAAAAGGCGGAAGGACGAGGTGCGAAGCTCGACTCTCGCCGCCGTAGTGTTCCCCTTCTTTGGCCTCCAAAAGCCGCGCGAGAAACCCCTCGCGCGGCCCGGAGGAAACGCCGTCGAGGGCAAGGGAGCCAATAAACGGCCCGTGCATGGCGGGGAGTTGCGAGGGCGACCGCGAAAGATCCTCCAGACCCCCCGCGCCGCCGCGGCTAATCCCGCGTTGTTGAAGAATCTCGCGCGAGATGAAGTTGTGGTAGATTTTAAAGTCAAAAAGCATCATGAGGAAGCTGTCGGTCTCGTCCAGGGTGGTATCGGTATGTTGGGGGTGGCGATGGATGGAATAGCGCGGGCTGACATTCGCGGGCGCCACCGGGGAGTGCTCCGTCGGTTGACAAGTCAGCCGCCGGTATTGTTGAACGCAGAGATGCATTTCCTCCAAGAGCACCACCACGTCTTCCTGCATTTTTTGATGAATCCCGACTTGCGAGGGGCGATCGGCGTCGTTCATGACGTATTTATCATCGTACCGATCCAACACCTCATTCAGGCGGAACTCCAGCTGGCTCAGCAGGACGAGAATACTCACCCGCTCATCACTTTCGGAGAAAAGCGTTGTGAGGCAGGACATTTTGGAATTCCTGAGCTGGCGGTACTGATCGGTTAACAACTTCGCCTTTCCATCTGTCACCTCCTTTCGAAGACGAAACAGACGAAGTTGGAGATCTTTGTTCTCAACCCCAACCGCCCGAAGGTCCTTCTCCAGGGAGTCGACCTGGGAAAGGTGCGCGTCCTTCTCGGAGGTCGTTTTATCAAAAAGTTCCCAATATTGCTGCGTGATGTGGGAGTTCTGACGCGCGAGACGATCAATCTCGTTCTCGCACAGCTTAATGTTCCCCCGAAGTCGCTCCACCTCATACTTCAGCTCGATGATATTCACCTCGGCGCCATTTACCTTTAGCTCACGCATCAGATGCGTGTTTTCGCTGAGCAGGGAGTTGATTTGATCGAAAAAAGTGCAGACCTCCCCCTCGCCGGCGGCACCGACGCCCTCGCCCTCGTCGTCGCCGATCGGGTTTCGGGAGAAAATCCCGCGGCAAAACTCGATACGAAACAGCCGAAGAAGCTCCGCGAGATACGGCGAAAGGCTCTCGTCAATCCGCCGGGTCACGCAGTCGTAGAGTTGGAGCACCTGAATCATGCGGAACTCCGTCGGGGGCTCGGCCGGGTCGCAGGACGCGAGCTCGCGGAGGGCCGTCTCGTACCGCAGCATCTGACTTCGCCAGTTCTCCAGCAGGGCGTCCTTCGCGGTCTGGGCCGGGCTTTCGGCGCTGGAAAGGGCGAAACGGGGCCGCGCGTGGGGCCCGGCGGGGCCCGGGGAGGTCGAGGAATCCGCCGTCGGGGCGAAGGCGCCGGATCCTCGCGCGCGGGGCGGGTCCGAAAGGGACCCGACGGCCTTCGCCTTCCGCGCGGCCCGCCGGATCGACCCGTCGCTGCGGTCCGCGGCGGAGATGGAGAAATTCCCGCGGCGCCGGCGCCGCGGCGGGGCGGGGTC